CTATCTGTTAGCTCACTGGAATCTTCTTTTTGTGCAACTCTTTCTAACAAGGGACCTACCCAATGACACCTCCTTTTGCCTTCTTTTATGAATTCCATGGAAATGTGACACTGTTGTTAAATGGATTTACCATTGCACTGCTGTGGCTTTATTTGGGTGGTGGTCTAAAAAATTTTGCACTGTTTCTCACATTTAGCACAACCTCTGATTTGATTTCAAGTGATTTCCTTGGCCTTTTACTCTTCTTGTGCAGATGAGATCTCCTCCACAACCTCTTGCTCCTAGAAGGCGAACACCCACAACCCCTCAGCAAAAGATAGAGAGGAGAGCCATTGGCTCAGTTATAATCATGTGACATTCTCTATCATCTACTGCCCATATTGTAAGATGTTGTTTGTTCATCAAGTTAAAGTTTGTTAGGAATGTTTGCTCACTTTGCAGAACACTCACAGAACAAGTTATTTACAAGCCAAGGTTTTACCATATATGGAAATTTGTCACAGGACCATTAGGACACTAATGTACAGGGACTCCTGTCTGTGGCCCCCACTCTACCGAAAGAGAACCTGCCAAGGTTGGAGAGGCCCTCAAGTGACGAGAAAGGAGTCATAGTCATGGTGCCCCAGGGTCCGACTGCTGCATCACCACTTTCTAGCTGAGTAAACTTAGATAAATGGCCTAACCTTTTTGTTTCCTTATCAGAAAAGAATGAAGGTAACTAACTATACCTCTTCATGAGATCGCTTGTGGGTAAAATGAGGGAGCACACATAAGCTGGAACCTAGAGTGTCATAGCCTGACCTTCAGTGGACATTATCTTTTCTCCCCTTTAAATTTTTATTATTACACCTCTGCTGAGTATCCTAAATAGTTTATTCACCGAAATAACATCATTTATGCCTTTGTTCCCTTGATTAACCTGGAATGTAGATTCAATAGCTGGAATCTTAGCAATCTTTTTGTGTTTGTCCATTCCTAGAGCATTTGGGAAGCTTCCTAGGGCACTGTAACTGCACTCATAGCCTCTGCAAACCCAACCCTTACCAGGTGCATGCCACTGGCTCTCATTATTCATGGCTAATTTCTCTTAAGCTCAAAAGAGTTTGCAGAAAAAGTTGGTGATGATCTCAAGCAAACTGGTGCCCAAGCCAGGAAGGTGACACAAAAATTGTAGCAAGAGTGACATTATTTTCCCTTGTTCACTAAAAAGAAGGAAAGTTATTATGACAAAGGCAGTAAAAACATTACCCACACTTGAGCATTGTGGTACTTCTCCTTATGTTGGGAGTGTTGATGTTTACCATGTCTAAGGTATGTTTTCAGGGATACACCTGGGTCACCCACCTTCTAAATGCCTTTGCTAGCCGAACAATAAATTCCACCATTAGAGATTTACCCTGATGTTGAATTCAAGCCTGGGTCTTCTGAGAGCCAATGTCAATAAGAAGTCAATTTCAGCCAGTTTGCAATTTAAAACCTTTCAGTGATTTCCCACTGCTGTGGGAGAATGTGTAACATCACCTCTGTTTTTTTCCTGTAGTTTTCTTCTAGTTGTTCAAATGTTCTATGATCTCTCCTGCCTCAGGAGAGATAATTTGCTGCTTATTTCTGATCCTCTGCACTAAATTCTGTGCACAGTGAATGAGTGAATGAGTGAATGAAATCATTCCTTGAATGATGACACTTATGGCAAGTAGGCTTTTATTTGTAGAAGACTACCAAACAAATGCCAACATTAGAAACCTTAGAGACAATGGATAGGGAGGCTGTACCTAAGGACTAGCTTTGCCTACATGTACGAAGAGACTTAAACTAATAGGAAGTCCTGGGGTGAGCTGCTCAGGGCTGGCATAGTTCTCAATGGTTATCAGAAACACAGATTCCATATTTGTTTTCCAACAATCTTTGACTGACTTCAATTCCAGTTAACCTCAAAGTCCAAAAAGATTGCTGAGGCTCCAGCTATTGAATCTACTTTCCAGGTTAATAAGGGAATAAAGGCATAAAGTATGTTACTCAAGTGAATAAGTTAATTTTAAGGACCTGTCATGAAGCTGCATCCAATAACTTCTGTTCCTGTCACATCGTGTCACAGGTATTTTGCCTGCTGAGAAATACAATGCTTTAGCTAGACTTATTGCCATTTATAAACAAGGTAACAAAGACAGACAGATGAATATTAGAGAAGAAATCAGCCTTAGCCATACAGGCCAAGGCCTTCGATGAAGAATTTGGGACAGGGACTTCAGGTATCCACTATACAACTTCATGGAGAAAGTAGTTAAGGCATAGTGGCCTCCAAGGGGTGGACATTGGACAAGGAAGGGGCAGAGTGAGATACAGCCTCACTCCCAAGATTGTCCTCTCCCAAGAATCTTGGGAGTGAGGCTGTATCTCACTCTGAGGCACAGGCTGATTGGACACTGAGAACAGAGCCAGGGCTGCCAAGTAGCTCAGATGACGAGCATTTGACTGGCCCCAGTGTTAAGCGAGACCTTTTTTCCTCCAGGAAGCTGGGGGTACCTAGGAGGCAGGGATCTCCGAAGGACCCACCAAGTTTTCCCATGTAGGGAAAGTTGCTGCAGAGAGCACATTTCCAGTAGAAAGAAAAGCTCAGGCAGAGACATGGGGGAGTCCGAAGGGGAACCTTCCAATATGACAGCAAGGAAGAAAACTAGATGTTGTGTTTTGAGTGTGGCTTGATGCCCAATGGCTCACATGTTGGCAGCTTGGTCCCCAGATGGTCAATGAAAAAGACAATGGGACCTTTCAGAGGTAGGGCTTGGTGGGAGGTGTTAATGTCACCAGGGCCAGGTTTTGATAAGGATTGATGTTTCGTGGGCAGTGAGTTCATTCACTTGAGAAAGTTGTTATAAAAAACTTCTCCCCATACTCCAGTTCCCTGTCTTACTGTATGATCTCTCTCTCTCTCTCTCTCTCTCTCTCTCTCTCTCTCTCTGTGTGTGTGTGTGTGTGTGTGTGTCTCTCTGTCTCTGTCTCTGTCTCTCTCTCTCTCTCTGTCTTTCTCTGTCACTTTCTCTCTTTCTCTTTTTCTCAAATGCTTCTTCCTCAATGCCTTCTGCCATGAGGTGATGCATGGGGTAGGACAGGTGACTCACCAAAGCTGGTACCATGCTCTTTGGACTTTGAGCCTTCCAAACTACAAGTTCAATAATTCTCTTATATAAGATATCCAGCCTTGGGTATTTTGAGACAGTATCATTAAACCATCGAATACATTGGGCAATGGGAAATAACCTAGAAAAGTCAGTACCAGGTCCCTTGTGACCTGACCTGGCCACGGTCCCAGGTTTCTTCTGCTTATTACAGCCCAAACATGGTGCCTTTTTACTGCCTCCTCCATGCGTCTATTGTTTCCCATCTTTGGATTTTGATTCATCCCTTTCCCCTCCCTGGAGGCTCTTCTTTTCCTCTCTTCACTTACTGACTTTTCATCTCCCTGGTCTCAAACCAGACACCACTCCACACAGACAGTTTGACTGCCATCATCTCCAAAGTGTGTCCACTTCATATTCCCACCGAGCACACCTCATTCTGCTTCATGTCATTCATTTGTAGTTTTTACTTGTGTGATTACCTCATTGAAGTCCATCTCCCCGCTTAGATCATGAGAGCTTAGAGCCAGCTCAGTTTGGTCCATCATTTGGCAAAGTCTGGCTCAATGCGCATCCAATGGAAATTCATTGGATTAATTAGGGGGTGTGCATGTTTGTGTGGATGCGTCTGTATATGTGTGTATGCAAGTGTGCATTGTAGTGAAAGACTAATGGGGTTAATGTACAATGAAGATAAAAATACATCAAATTAATCAATTGTGTTCTTGTGCACTTTAATTCTGAAAGTTAATTGGCTGTTTGCTAAAAGCCGTCTGCTGTGGTCAGAGGTGTTAACACAGTGAAGGATGTGATAAACTGTGGCTTCCCAGCTGAGAATGAAACACAAGGGTAGAATTCATGCACACCTATGAAATGCAAACATCGCCCAACAAAGGTCTGCAGTGAGGCACAGCTTCTTCCTTACACCATTGCTCCCTAGCAGAAACCATAAGGAGTCATGCAGGTCAGAGGAAAGACCTTTCCTCTGAACCCTGTCCATTGTTTACCAGGCAAACCTGAATCCCTGGGATTCTACTTTTGCAGTTTTTTATTTTGTACTCAACTCAGCTGGCTAAGATTTGCTCTGGCCCATCTGAGAGGGAAGTTTTTGAGAAAAGTTTTTGAGAAACCCAAATCATGAAATTTCAAGGCAGCAAGTCTAATTATCCAGGAAGCAGAGGTATCCTCTATCCATATAAAAAAATATTAATATAAACAACATAATGATGCAAACCACTGTTTACTGTGCACCGAAGCAGGGGACACCCAAGGCTGTCTTTACATATAATTTTGGCAGTCTTGTCACTTCCTGCGCATGTTTAAGAGTAACACAAATACCTTTCTGTTAGATTAGAGTGGAAAAAAGCAAGGGAAAGGGGAGAAAATGAGGAAAGGAGGGACTCACAGCTGCCACGTGCTCAGGGTACAGCCCACTGAGCTGAGTACTCTACACATGTCTCAGTTCTCCAGCCTCCTTCTGTGATAGTGATAACTATTATTTCCATTGTACAGATGAGCCAACTGAGGATCAGTGAGTTAAAGACATGTAGTCAAAATTGCAAGGCCATATGTGCAGTGTCTGATCCAGACTGTATCTGACTGTGGTTCACACCCTTCCTCCATCACAGCTAGGCCAAACTTTTTTCCAGTCTCATGGCTCTGGATGTCCTTCAGGCAGAAGGGCCTTTCGTCTCAGTTAATGCAGTATAAAATATATGTGTGTGCATGTGTGTGTGTATACATGTGTAATTTCCAGTCTTTCTGAAATGTCAACTCCTCAACCGTAGTAAGACACTGCATTTCTAATGAGATCAGAGGGAAAATATTTTAGGAACTCATCAAGTCAGTGCTGGATAGACACTGGAGCAGTGGCCACATTCTTACCTCCCTGCTTCAAATGTAAATTGGAAGAACAAGTTGCTGACATCTTAAAAGGCTGACGCTGCATGTGTCCCAGGACCCAGCGTGTCCTCACTCTCCTGTAATGCTAAAAAAAAAAAAAAAAATTGCACATTTGTCTAAGGAGACACATGCAAGAGTATTTGTTGCAGTAGTGCTTCAAAAGGAAAACAATGGAAGCAAGCTGTAGTTATCATCTTTCCATTGCTAGAACAAAATATTTGGCATATACAGTACAACTTCAAGGAAGAGTGATTTACTTTGGTACACGATTTCAATCTGTGGTCAGTTGGGCCTAAGGCAGGAACATCATGACAAGAGGGGGTGGCAGAAGGAAGTTGTTCCTCTCCTGGCAGCCAGGAAGCACAGTGAAAAGGAGAGACAGACAGACAGACAGACAGAGACAGGGACAGAGACAGAGACAGAGGAAGAGGATGGGACCAGGAACAAGATATACCCTTCAAAGTCACACCCTCAGTGATCTACTTCCTCCAAAGATATTAACAGCTAATCCAGTTAATAAATTCATCAATAGTTTAACCCATTGATGAAATCAGCACCCTATTGATCCGATCATCTCCATAGGGCCTGCTTCTGAATATTGCTGCCCTGGGGACCAAATCCTCAATACATGAGTCTTTGGAAGATGCTGGATATTTAGAGCACAAGACAAACTAAGTGTGTAACCACCAATAAAACAATAGATAAACAAAGGGTGAATAGTCAACACTCTGTGAAAGACAGGATGATAATTAAACTGAGCTGAAACTCTAGAACTCATGTTAACAATGTGGAGAACTAGCAAAGAGTATTGGAAAAATATAGCTATCAGAAGCTGCTAATGGTGTTAGGACATTCTCTTTTTTATTGTAAAGGGCATAGACATATACAAAAATTGAAAAATTTAAAAAATTTGCATGATAAAATACAGAACTGGAGCTCCTACTGGGAGAAAGGTGGAAACGGTGAGATAGGAAAGAGCTGAGATTACATTTGCAGTGTTTTCTTTCTTAAGCAGGCTGTTGGATACTCTGACGTTTATGAAAATACTTCCTATGGCTTTTTACGCCTAAAAACTTCAAAAGGTATAATTTTAAGAGAAGGGAAGGGTGAGTAAATAATTTACTTTCTATACTATATTTACTTTCTTTTTTTCTGGACTGTAGTGGGGATAAGAGATTCTCATTTCCCATCACTTGGGCAGAGACACCCTGTCATGGCAGGTGGCCCAGCCAGACCCCAGTCATGTACACCAATAGCTGTAAACAGCCAGTGTGGCTTCTGCACCTCCCAGGATACCACCTGCGGCCTGCAGTGAGGTAGAGTGAGCTCCCTGGGAAGTCATGCTTCCCCCTGGTAAAAGATGGGATCACTCCATCTCTGTCACCTTCCCAGAAAAGGAAGTGTTGCAGAGAGACAGATTAGATCATCTATTATCAAGTAGGCGAATGATAGACTAGGGAGGCACCTGCTGCTCGCCAGATGTTCTATCAATTATCAGAGGTGTGGGGAAGGGAGCCCTTGCTGCCTCCTCCCCAGCCTTCCAGTCCAGCTTCTCCATGGAAAAATTAGACAAGGGACAGGATCATGGACCATATCCCCCACAGCTGGCCTGCTGATGAGATCGGGCTGGGGCACCAAGCAGCCAAAGTGTACTCAGATCCTAGGCTATGGAAATTCACAGAGTAGAGGATAATCCTCCACGCAGGCCAGGAACGGATGAAGCATGATAAATGTCTCAGTAAGAGCTCTTGAACAAAAGCCTCACGACCAGTACTATCATCACCATTGCCACCACCAACACCATCATTGTCATCATCATCAAATGTTTCTTCTACACTGGGAAATTTACAAAGAATTTCATCCACTTCATTGACTTCTGACAACATGTTTAAGCTAAAAGGGCTCTCAATGTTCCCAAAGGAAACTGAAGCAGACAGAGACAAGTAATCAGCTAAGATTTCCTAAAGTGAACTCCCATAACTGTACCATCTTCTTTACTTCACCATTCAATTATAGTTAAACTGACAGCCTTATCCAGGCATCTGATCAGCAGATGAGGAGGTGGCACAATTCCACTGCTCACTCGAGGCAGGGGCAATATGCCAATACCCAGCAAGCAAGGCCCAGAGGCCTTCAAAATGTAGTCTTGAAAACCTCTAGACTGGGAACTGGGAGGAAATAGAAACCTTTCCTCAAGTCTCCAAAGTCTCTTCATGACATTGTGAATCTTTGGATTTGAGAAAATCCATGACTGTCAAGAAACAGTGGAGGCCAGCAACAACCTCATTGCATCCCATCAAGAGCAATCTAGCCTGGTGGTCTCTGGGATATCAGACACCTCTACTTGGTAGCCCTTGGGGAAGAAGCAACTCAAAGTGCCCAGCCCCACCATCATCACTACACACTTGGAGTCAGCCGCATTCCAAATCTCCATATCGCCATCTCATCTGTGAATAGCATCTGACACCTCCTTCTGTTTCAATGAGGCTGAGGGACACTCTTGAATGGACACTTGGTAGAGTATCCCTTGGCAATTCTCATGCACTTGTGTGCTTGGCCCACAAGGCCTCAAGTTATAGAAGGTTCTGATGTCAGTCGTGAAACATCAGCAGAAGACAGGAGGAGTTGGAGAAAGAAGGTACCAGTTTTCCTAACTGAGAACAGAATTATACCCGGGAAACACAATTCCAGACTCCTACCCCTGCTCTCCGGGGAACTGACCAGAAGTGAGTTCACCCAGGGAGGAAATCCCGAAAATCCTTGTAAACAGAGGATCTTCCTCAGCTCTACCCTGTGCTGGGGCCTCCTGCTCGTGCTATCTGCTCTGCCTCACCATCCTCAGCCAGGCTCATTTTCAAAGTCATGTCTACTTGTTCTGACTACCATATGTTCAGGGAAGTCACATGTTCTAAGCTCTAAGAAGGTATATTAGACAGCTGAAGTTGCCATAACTAATAACACTGGTCCAGTGGCTTAAACAACTGAAATTTATTCCTCACAGTATTGAGGCCAGAAGTTTTTGCTAAAGTGCTTGGCTTGTAACTGGCCATCTTGTCCCTGTGTCTTCCCATAGTCTTTCTTATTAATGTGTATGGGTTCTAATTTTCCTCTTCTAAGGCTACCAGTCAGACTGGATTGGTGACACCCCTAACTTGGATCATGATTGGATTAGAGGTATTCCAATATTTTTGCTTTGACTTAATTTCTTCTTTACAGGCTGTAAGAGTTTGGATCTTGAGTGTCTCTCAAAGATCTATGTATTGACAGCTTGGTCCCTACCTTGGCACTATTAGGAGACAGTGGAAAATTTAAGAGGTGGGATCCAGTGGTAAATCTTTAGGACCCTGGAATGCACCTTTGAATGGGATTGTGAGACCCTAGTCCTTTCTTTTTCTCTCTTTCACACTGGCCATGTGGCCATATACTGACTCTCCCAAGCACAAAATCACTGGAGTCAACTGACCATGGACTGAAACCTCTGAACCTGTGAACCAAAGTAAACCTTTTCACTTTATAAGCTTATTATCTCTGGAATTTGTAATAGTGATGGAAATCAGCCTAATGCAATGGTCCTTTCTCTAGTGACAGTCTCATTCTACAGTACTGGGGTTATTAGAGCTTCAACATATGAACTCAAGAGAGGGCACAATTCAGCACGCAAGAGGGAAGGAGCTTAGAGAGAAATTCAGTGAGTTTATATGTTATTGGGTGATTGTTTCAAGCACTTAGGATCATTTTCTTGAATTAACATTCCTTTGTTTTCCCAGCAAACTCTAAATCATTACATATTAGAGACTTTTACATTCACTAATAAGCCTCATTGAGCTACTTACCACACAGTGGGCCCTCAATTTATTCTTTATGACTTCAAAACCAGGGAAATATACTGTGTGTAAAAATCAATCTCAAAAGGTAATGTCCTGCGTGATTCCATGTCCACAGCTTTCTTGAACTGACACAACACTCAGGTGGTTTCATGCTCTCTTACACAAAGCTGTAACATTTCTGACATTAACTCCTCAACTCAGGCTACTCAGTGCTTTGCATTTTTGCTATGCCATCTTTTAATCCAGCATTAGACCCCAAAATAGGTGTTAAATACTAACTTGCTGAATGAATGAGTAAATGAACAGATCATAACTCCAGTCAAAGAAAGCAGATGGAAGGCCAAGAATTGTAGGCACTCAACTAGAGATTTAGAAAGAAGCTCCCAAAATACACAAAATTAATCCAAAACTGAAATTCACTGGTGAACCACATAGATTTCCTGTCAGGATCAGTGTGATTTCAAAAGACTAGTGATCGCCAGGTGTAACAGAACAACAGTTGTCTGCATCTGACTAGAAGGTGAATTGTGGCCAAAAGGAGGTCTTGAAAATGGGGTGCAGAAATGAGCCCATTTGCCCAATAGACTTTGTACTCTAGAAATGGTGACTCCAGTAAGGGAGTTCAGAAAACATCGTAGCTCCCTGCAGGTGCCAATCTGGAGCTGGCACTGCCCCCTAAACCCTGTCCTCAGACTCCTTTCATTCTCCCTGTGCCTATATAACTTCTCTAGGTCTTTCCGCCACCACCACCCCAGACCACAAATCCATCCTTCTCTTCATTGTCAGTGCCCTCCTGTCTTGGGATCAAATAAATCCAGCTTCTGGGAGCTGGATATGGACAAGCTTTTTAGTAGCAATTTGGAAATGACTAAACAGAGACCAACCTGTGCCCAGCTCACATAGAAGCAAGAGGTCCCCACAGGCTGGCTTTTCTCTCTGTGTCAGGAGCCTGCTATTTAAAGACCAGCAAATCTATAACTTGGGAGATATGGAGTGTGAAATCTACATTAAGAAAATGAAGATGAAAATATATAACCTTGAACCATAAACAGAAGCAATAAACTAGTGAGAGATCATGGGGCAAGAAATCATTAGGAGAGGGGCTTCTTCTGGAGGAGAGGAGGACTTTGCAAGGCCTGACAGTCAGCGGCTCTCCATGGCAATAGACAGACAGACCCACCCCTGTGCAAGGAAAGTAAAATGGAGTATTCCACTAAAAAAAAAAAAAAGACTCAGAGCTGTTCTGGAGA